TTCGAACCCCGAGTTCTCCATGGAGCTCCAGTAGCCCGCCGACTTCCGCCGATTCGACTTCTCCCGTCTTGGTTGCCGATGTTCGCCGATCCGGTTCATTTCGGTCGCCGATCCGACTGGTCGATTTGATTCTGGGCTCTCCTGGATGAGGTGTGGGGGTACAGTCGGGGCGCTGAAGAAGGAACCCTTTTCGTTGGGGAGGGGCTCGGTGTTCCTTGATCGTTTAACAGTTTGCCTCAGGTCTTCTTGAGGTTTTCCATGGGACACCGATGCTTAACTCATGAGAAAAAGGGGCCTCGTTCCTTATTTGGGGTTCCTTAGGACAACGCCCCGACGGTAGGGCTGTGAGGCGGCACATCTGGTGTGAGGCCCCCGGCGGCCAGGGTGTGCACGGGGCGTGGGGCCGCCGGCTCCCTCCAGTGCAGGCGCGGTCGCGGGCGAGAGGGGGGACGGGGCGAGCCGGGAGGTGGCTCGGCGTGGGCGTAAAGCTGGCAGAGGCAGGCGGAAGAGGGCGAGTGGAGGCCAAATATTCAGAGGCCAGCAACATATGTACACGTACGCGGTTAGTTTCCCCTGAGTGCGTGTCAACGCGGACGTTCGTGCAGGCAAGACCGTGGAGGGCGTACATGTACATATGTCGTTGCTCGCCCAAATATGCAGGTGCAGAGGCTGGCTGAACAGGTCGGAGTGGCAAGGGTGCAGGGCGCGGGGGCTGATTCCGCGGGGCCCCTCGGGGGGGGACTTCGGCGGCGGTGAAGGGCCCGAGGGCCCCTCCCTCTGCTCACGGGACATCCCCATGGGCGTCCCAGAGGCCCGACGGCGGGATCCCTTGCCTGCCTCTGGGCACCCTTGGGGGGCTTCCACCGCGTCATCCCCTGCGCGTAGGACCCCCCCCTACGTGGCCACCATCCCCATGACTGGTACCCTCCCCCGCCGAGGCAGGAGTGGGGGGGGGGCACCCAGATCACGGGAGTGGTGGCTGCTTGGGGGGGTTCCACCGCTCGTGGGGGTGGTTTTTGCCATCTGTATCGGCGGCACGCGCGGTGACGGTTGATGTGATAAGATGGATCCCCGACCCATCCTCCCTCTGTTCCTGCGGCAGGCGATGGAAGTCGCGGCTGCCTAAGACGGGCCGTGGCCAGTGGAGGTAGGGGGGAGACTGAGACGCGTGCTATCCTGAAAAGGTGGCGTGGCTTGCTGGCTGTGGTGCAGCCGCGGCCGCCCTGTCCCTCAGCAGCACGGCCCGCGGTGAGTATGAGCTCCTTCCCTCAGGTAAAACCCACCCCTTCCCCACCACAAGAGGGGGTGCTGAGGAGGTTAGTTGAGTACAGTGGGGGGAGACGGGGCTGCAAGCAGGTGAGTCGGGAGTAGGGGAGGGTTGGAGGTTGGCGGAGGCCTTCAACATGTGACTCGCTTGCAATCGCCTAAGAGTGATCGCAGTCGCAACTGATGTTCACGCCGTATTGCGCTGCCTGTCCCACTGGTGTGCCACGAAGTGGGTGAGAAAGCCCCGTAGGGACCCACGCTGATCGCAGTCGCCACTGATGTTCACGCTGTAGGATATTGCCGTAGAGAGGTGGAAACCCAAACCATCAGCTGTGTTACTTCCGTCATACAGTGAGTGCGTACCCGTCGTTAAGAGGATAGAGCAGAGTTGGAGTAGGTGGGTAGCAGCTGGCCTGCTGTGAAGCACGAAGTCGGTATGTGAGGATATAGCGCGCTGGCTGGCCGCCGTTAGGCCACTCCAATTGCGAGGCGTGCTTCGGTGTTGTGGGCGATTAGGGGGGAGTCTCCCGATTCGCCGTAGTTGGGTCGCGCTGGTCGCGCTGGTTCACTTTGACGGCGTCTGCGAAGGTCGGCCGGGTTTCCGCGGGTCGGGGCCGTAGACTGGGAAGGTCTCCTTGTCCATCTCCTGCTGGTCGCTCTGTTGGATGATGCCGTGGTGTCCGTCTGTGGGCTGGCACGTCACCGGCTTATATTCGCAAGCCGTGTGGTACGCGCCCCGGTCTGCGTTGTGGTTTGTGTAAGCGCATCGCCTCCTGCGAAGCCAAGTGCTCCGAGCTCGACGACCTCGGGTTGCAGGAGTCCTCGCGCGGGTCGACTCCTCCAGCTTTGTCCCTGGAGGAGGCGAAGGTCGAGGTTCTGGGGCTGGAGGTGGAGCAGGTGGCCCTGGCCGTCAAGGTGCCGCTGGCGCCCGAGCTGGCCACGTCGCTCGGCGCCTTCCTCCCCGCGGCCACCAGCACCGTCGGCAGCTCATGCCATCAAACCGAGCAGGTCATCGGGCTCCTGTACAGGCCGTCACTTTTGGCCTCGTCAGGCCCGATTGCAGAAGACGTCTCAGGCGGGAGTCTCGTCTGGGATCGAATTGCGAAGTCCTGGGCGGGCCCTCCCCCCTTGCCCCCTATGGGGCCGGCAGCTCATGCTATGAATCCTAGCTCCTAGCGGTCATCGGGATCTTGTAGCTGTCATCTTTTTTGGCCTGTCCAAGCTTGAGTCTGGAGAAGGTCTCGAGCGAGAGCCTGGTCTGTGAGTGAAATTTCGCGGGAGTCTCAGGCGGCAGCCCCCTCCCCAGGGGGATCTTCAGCTCATGTTATTAAACCGAGCGGGTCATCGTGATCCTGTCAGCGTCGTCATTTTTGGCCCTCTCGAGTTTAAATGTGGAGGGAGTTTTAGGCGGGAGCCTCGTCTGTGAGTGAATTGCAAGGAAGTCTCAGGCGGGGGATTCTCCCTATAGGGCCCCGCACCTCACGTTATTCATCCGAGTATGGAGGAAGACTTAGGCGGGGGCCTCGTCCGTGAGTGATTTGCGAGGAAGTCTCAGGCGGGTGCCCCTTCAGTGGGGCCGGCAGCTCATGTCATGAATCCGAGAGTGCCATCGGGATGTTGTGAGTGTCGTCGCTTTCGGGCTCCTGAGGTTTGAGTATGGAGGAAGTTTCAGGCGGGAGCTTTGCCTTTGAGTGAATTGCGTGGAAGTCTCAGGCGGGCGGCCTTATGGCTCGTGGGGCCCCGCAGCTCACGTTATTCATCCGATCGGGTCATCGGGATCCTATAACGGTCGTTTTTTCGGGCTCTTGAGGCCTGAATGTGAAGGACGTTTTGATCGGGGGCCTCGTCTGTGCGTGAACGGCGAGGTAGTCTCGAGCGAAGGCCAAGCGGATCGGCTGAAAAAGAATCGCGAGGAAATTTGAACGGGAGCTTCTCCCCACGGTGTTTTGATGGACACAGCTTTGACGCCCACGTCTCCAAGAGGTCTAGGTGGCGGAGGGTAGAGGCCGACGGGTTGTGAAGAACATGTCGCAGCACTGAAGTTGCTGGCGACTTGCTACAGGGAGCCGGAGGCATTGACGACGATGGCGAGGCCGAGGCGCGGGCGAGGAATTTGCCCATGTTCAGGCTCAACTAGAAGAAGTTCACGTGGCAGAGCTCAGGGCGGCACGCCGTGCGCCGCTTGGGAGCCACCCTGTCGCGCGCGTCCTACCTGAGTCCCACGCTGTCGCAGGGTCAGATGCTGCGTAAGGGCGTCGCTTTCGACTGCGCCAGGGACGAAGGCGCTGGTCGCACGGGTGTGTCGGACGAGCAGTGGTGGCTGCACCTCTGCGTCGCTATCCCGCACCATGTGCATGCGGAACATGCTGATCCCGCGGCCGCCCGCGCGAGCGTTTCTGGAGGGCGGGCCGCCCCCTTCCTTGCGAAAAGGCGCTGAGGGAATTCGGCGAGGGAGCGGGGAACTCCAGGGCTGAGGCGGAGCCGCTCGCGGCAGAGCTGGGCTTCGTGTGCCCCCCGCCTGGGCGCGGCCGTGACTAGCTCTAGACCTGTGGGGTTGTCCCAGCGGCGTGCGCCCAAGCGGTTCGCGGGGTTGTCTCAACGGCCTGGTCCGCGGGGTTGCCCCAGCAGCGTCGCGATTTGGCCATCGGAGGACGTGCCCATGCTGGCCGTGGCGGCAAGGGCGCCAAGGAACATCGACTTGCGTAAACTTGGCTAGGGGGGCAGGGTAGGAGGTGGATGGGAGAGAATTGGTAGGAGGACGAGGAGGAGGCAGAGCGGGGGGCGGGAAGATGGCCTCCGCCAGGGCGGCGAGGGAAAGGGCGATGAGAAAACGGAAAGAGAGTCTCTGCGCTCACAAGAACGACGGTGAGGTTTACTCTCGTATTACTTTGAGGGGTACTCACGTGGGGGCCTACCGTCGGACCCATTGTCGGCCGAGTTCAAGCGTGCTCGGGTCGTTTGAAGGTTAGGGCCTCGGGCCATTGTTAGGGCGATGGATTTGGGCCGCTGGCACGACGGGCGAGCTGCCACTGTGACGAGGCTTCCTGTTTTGGCGCCTTTTGAATGCTGTCGGCCTTGTGCACTACGACCATGCGCGGGCCGGGCCCTGCGAGGAATGCCGTTGTAGGGTCCGCGTTTGCGTGGCCCGCACGGACGGGCACTTGGCGCACTTGCTCTATGGCAGTTGCTACCCTGGCCCGTTCGACAGGTGGAATTCACGTTCTTTCTTCCTGCGGTCGGGTTTGGTCATCCACGATCTCCGGGTTTGAATTCGAGGTTCCGCGGTTTCCCTGGCTCCGGCGGCCGCCAGCGGAGCCCTGGGGCCGATGGTGCCGCCGCCCGCGGAGGATCGGAATTCCGTGTTCGAGCTGTTCCGTGCGACAGGGCACGGGGCTTTCGCGCACGGCCGTCTCGCGATGATGTGCACAACGTGTGGGACCTCTCCTGCACTGCAAGACGGAGCGCGTTTTTTGGGTTCGTGATTCAGGTTGGGGCCCGTTTTTGGGTATCGGGCCGCTGGGCGCCGTGCGTCCTCCTCCCTTGCTTTTCCTCTTCGTCCTCCTCGTCGTCCTCCTCCTCCCCCCCTTCTTCTTCTCCTCCTCCTCCTTCCTCCTCCTCCTCCTCCTCCTCCTTCTCCTCCTCCTCCTCCTTCTCCTCCTCCTCCTCCTCCTCCTCCTCCTCCTCCTCCTCCTCCTCCTCCTCCTCCTCCTCCCCCTCCTCCTCCTCCCCCCTCCAGAAGCAGGTCCTCTCGCTCAGGCACGCGGTGAGGATCGACGCCCAGGAACGCAACGCCGACGAGGACGAGGCCGTTAGCCACTGGGACCAGCGCCAGCTGAGTGAGGAGAGGAACAGGCCGTGCGGCCTCCTACGAACCCTGACCTTTCGCCTCCTCCCGATTCTCCTCCTTTCTCTTGTTCCGCCTTCTGACTGGTTTACAAGAAGAGGAGCGGAGGAGGATAATGGGACGCAGAAGGACATGCTAGTACCACGCGTCCTCCTCGGAGGCGTGCGTCTGACCCGAACACATGGTGCATCCACCTTGTACTAGATCTTTTCCCGAGCGGTACGGCCAGAAAGCGCCCGCCACTGATTCTCCCCTCTTTCTCTTTCTCTTTCTCCTCATTTCCCCGGAAGTCCCGACCCTCCCCACGAGGCCGGCTTTCCGTTCGAGTCGTTTCTGGATTGCCCTGGGACCTGGCAAGAGGGGCGGCCAACAACCATCCGTCACAATTTTTGCCACGCCGCGAGCACGTCTGACCTCGGTCAGGAGACTGTTTTTGTTCAAGGTCCGGCGATAACCCGGGTTATCGGGCTTGCCCCCCCTCCCCACCCCAGCATAACCTAACCTCCTTGCCGGTTGTGCAGGTCGGGGGTGGGGGAGCGCGGGCATATGCAGGGCTGCCCACAGCGCGAAGGTTAGGTTATCGGCTGGCCCCCTCCTTCTCCCCCCCACCCCCGGATAACCTGGGTTATTGTCGATTCAAAAAATAAAACGGTCTCCAGGATGTGGGGGTGAGGGCAGAGTTCGTTCAGAATCCATCCCCAGACGCCTCTGGTGGTCGCGCCGGCCCAGTTTCTCGAGCCGCGCTCTGCCGTGCTAGCGCATGGGCCCCTGTTTCCCCCCTTATTTCTGCTGCCCGTATGCTTACGTCGGGCATGGCATGTCCCTCTACAGGAGGACTATTCAAAAAATTGCAAGAAGTAGTATGGGGACGGTTGTCATATTTTGTGTTGTTCTTTGTTTTCTGTATATATATATAGATGTGTTTGTATGTATATATATATATATATGTATACACAATCATATATGTATGTATGTACATATATATATATGTATTCTAAATTATTTTTTACTATTTAATTACTATGTTTCATTTTTCTTCAAAGATCTGCCTGTAGGAGGACCTGCCCGACCTAAGCGTAGGCCAGAAACGGCCAAAACCTTTCCCTCGAGATTCTGTCGCGGCTTTTTCTTGCTCCTCGTCGCTCGCGGATCTCCCTCCAGCCAGGTGCGATTTCAAGCCGCGCTCAGCCGTGGTAGCGTCGGGGCCCTTTTCTCCCCCCTCGCTGCTGCCCATAGGCCAGCAACAGCCCAAACCCTTCCCTCGATCGGCGCCACCCCAACATACAAATACCATGTGTGCGTCGCTACCCCAGGGGCGGCGCGCGCACCGAGAAATCTTATAGTGCATGCGTCGTGGCGGGCGCTTTCTGGCCACACCGCTCGGAAACGATATACTACAAGATGGGTCTACTGTATGTTCGGGTCGGATGCGCGCCGCCAGAGAGAACATCTAGTAGCAGTATGTCTCCGCTCGTCCCAGGTCGAGGTTTTGCCGCAGCGTTTTGTTTTTTGGCGCCTCGTCACTTCGCGGACCTCCCCTCGTAACGGATGCAAATCCTGGGGGGTCAAATTCTGATTTTGCCCTGGTCCGAAATCTGGCTTAATCCGGCTAAATCCCGTTTAATCTGGCTTAATCCCGTTTAATCCGGCTTAATCCGAGGCCCACTCCGGCGTAACAGCCCCCCAATGGGGCTTAATCTTCTTTAATCTTTCCGACGAAAACCTCCCAGTAGTTGCCTCCTCCCCTCGTGGCCCCAGGCGCGAGCGCGAGGCGCGCCGGGAGCAGCGCGAGCAAGAGCGGCGCCTGGGCGAGGAGGTGGCGGCCATGGCCTTCCGCCGCCGCTACGGGCCGCTGCTGCCGGAGGTGGTCGCCGCCCTGAAAGGCGCGGGCCCGCCTCGGGTGGTTCAAAGAAGGGGTCCTGACCTGAGGGATGGGGTCCTGAGGATGGGAAGGGGTCCGAGGGTGGATCTGCATTGTTGGAGGCACCTCGTCTTCAGGACCCCATCCCTTACAGGACCCCGTCCAGAACACCGTTTCTGGGGCTTCAGCACGGTGAATCAAATATCTGTTGCGCCTTGACAATCCTGAATCGTTCCCAAACAGCATTCCTGATACGTTAGCCATGGGAATCCGTGAACTTCTTGCAAATGTTTGAAACGAATGTGCGCGGCGCTAAGGCGAGAGCCACATGCTGAAAAGGAACCGTTCTCAATCCGTGAAGCTCGTGCATGTTAGAAATCAACGAATGTGCGCGACGCTAAAGCGAGCGCCACACGTTGAAAACCACCCGCCCTCCATCTGTGCAACTGCTGCCACACTTAGAACTTCAGGGTCATAAGCAGTAAGGAAGTCTCAGGCGAGTCGCCCTGGCCGCCCATCCGACTGTCCT